CCATACATTGGATATATGTTTGCTTACTTGCTTATATTTATGATTACTATGAATACTATAAAATATTTGTGTATTACTAAGCTCGTAAAATTTAATGTTTGATTGTTTACTCTTTTTTAAGTTAGTTGGTTATTTGATAAAACGGAGCACCGCTGATAAGAAATTTCAGTACCACCTATTAAAAGAACAATGTTGATCTTTTTAAAGGACACGAGTATTCATGTGGACCTTATTTATATTTCAATCATGATTCTAAATTTATAATAACTTATTGTTCATTTTGTTTTTAAACATGTGATAGAATTTCATATTTGTATTAGATATTTTATCAAACTCATTTTATAAATGATGTTGTCTTTTAGGATGCCAAATGAATGTTATTTATTGAAAAATTTTATGGTCAATTTGTTGAGTCATTAAACGAGCCTAAATATGGCATCGTAAGCCCATCATTGTAGCGAGTCGGGTTTAAAATATTAGATTTAATAGTATCATAGCATAAATTCAATCAATCCTAGGACTCGCTGGTCGGTTTAAATAAGTGTTAATATATATATGCCCTTTATATAATACTGTACTCCTCCAAGATTGAAATTCTGATGGTGTTTCACTTATTCTTTTAATTGTAGGAATTTCTTATGCTCGATGATTCTGACAGTAGTCTTGAGGCTAATTTTTTATTGTACTCTAGGCCTTAATTTTAGCTAATAATTTTAGTATTAAATGAATTGATATTTTCCATCATTTTTTAGTTATGGGTACTAACATTGTGACTATGAACAACAGAAATTATGCCAAGTCAAAATTAGAGTAGTAAAATTTCCAATATATAATCTTAGCCCCTTCAAAGAATAAAGGTGAAATTCCTACATATTCAATAATATAACTTGTTACAAGACAAAAGCAACTACAAAGAAACAATGGTTTCATTATACCAAACAAAACAATAGAAGAAAAATGTTGAATGACAAGTTGGTCGGGGGAACATAATTTATTTCAATATGAAATTAGGGTTAAAATTTATCTTGTAATTTTGAGGACCAATTTAAAATTTTGAAAAATTCTCAATCGTTTTTTGTAAAATTTCAGAAGACTAAGAGCATTTAGGGTAATTAACTCATTCCTCTAACTTTACAAACTAAAAAGAGATAGAAAGATGCTATTGTGTGGCCTAAGGGATTCGATCCTGTAACTCATCCCTTGGCCATTGTTGTAACACTCACGACCCAACTTAAAAGTTTAATTCGAATTAGAGATGCACATTAGATCATTAAAACAATCTCACAATTACAAAATAAAAATATAACTTGCACAAAAATTTAAAGCAAATTATACATTAAGTGAAAAACGTAAAAATTTCAAAAAAACAAAGCTCCTTGTTTGAAAACTAAATACACAAGTAAAACAAATTATTTACATAAGTAAAAATCGTAACATCTATATGCTCACTTAAGTATTTATCGTTGTACTTTGATATTCTCACTAAAATTCCTCTGATATTATCGTTATCTCATCACAATTTTTAAAATAATGTCTCAAACAATAGCAAGTGTTGGGTAAAAAGGATCTTTAGAATTTCTTTTGAAAGAAAATGTCATTTCACTATAATATTAAAAAAGTAATAATTAATGATTGAATTGATATAAAATAGGAATTCGAAAATGTTAGATAATTATAACTATTTATATTTCATTAATTAAAAAAAGGAGGTTAAAGTGATTAATAATTTTCTTATTCACATAAACATTTATAAATATTTATATATAAAAGAGAAGATAAGTAACTACATCATTCGATAGGCTTCATTAGTTAATCACTTACATGATTTAAATTTACCAAGTCGGTTATTTTTTAAATAATATGTGACGATTATAAAATAGTATCTATCAAAAAAATTTAACTGTTAATAATATATACATTTTTTTATTACAAATTATATATATATTTTACATACACAACTATTTGAATTTAAATCTATATAAAGAATAACACTTCCCTAAAACCCTTGAGGCTCGATGGGTTTCAACAAATCGATTATTGAATTGAAAAAAGAATTATCATTATCATACACATGTCTTTAGTTCGAATCCATGTGTATGAAGAAAAAAATTTGAAATAAGGGATCGAGAGAAAAAAAACCTCAACTGAATTTAAAAATTAAATATATAACATCAGAAAAGCGTAGAACACCGAGCATTAAAAAGAACGAAGAAATGTCTATATTAAACAAAACAAAGCAGATCAAGAACTGATAATGGGATTAAAGAAAAAGAGAAAGAGGTTACTAAGGGAAAGAAAGAGGCAGTGTATATAATACAATACGAGGGTTCCATAATCCAAGTGGAAGCAAAGTGAAGGGCAATGGATAGTTAAGAATGTTAGGTACAAGAATATATTACGTAAATTATATGATGTTGTGTGTATTGCTTGGTTAAATGAGTCATAAGATAGTTAAGAATGTTAGGTACAATAATATATGACTAAAAGATATGAATGAATATAATATTGATAAGAAAATGAGGTTAATGATGATAATGACAAGATATGTAGATGTATACAATTGACTATATGAAATGTTATATTGTTTTGTGTGATATCATTGTATGAAATTTTCATGCATTGTTAAGTAGTTAGAGTTTCATTATATGTTTTCTATTGCCTCGCTAAGTCAATGACTTAGTTTGTGAGTGTTTCACACGTAAGTTCCGAGAAGATGAAAAGGGATCGAAGACAGGCAAGACATGTCAGCTTCTCCTTTCCAAGAATCAGATCAGAAAAGAATTGAATCATATGTATTTTATAATATTGATTTTGGTTGGCATGTAAATAAAGATTTAGTATAATACACTATGATCAGTTTTGTAAAACTATATGATTGTATTCAATATAAGGTATTCAGTTTTCAATGTAAAATTGAATTGTCAGTTATTTTGTAAAAGAAAACGGTTTGAAAAGTCAATTTGACACTTCGGACTTGTATTCGGGTCGAGTACGGGTTGGGGATGTTGCACTGATGGTGTTTCACTTATTCATTTAATCGTAGGAATTTATTATGCTAGATGATTCTGATAGTAGTCTTGAGGCTAATTTTTTATTGTACTCTAGGCCTTAATTTTAGTTAATAATTTTAGTATTAAATGAATTGATGTTTTCCATCATTTTTTAATTATGAGTATTAACATTGTGACTATGAACAACAGAAATTATGCCATGTCAAAATTAGAGTAGTAAAATTTCCAATATATAATCTTAGCCCCTTCAAAGAATAAAGGTGAAATTCCTACATATTCAATAATATAACTTGTTACAAGACAAAAGCAACTACAAAGAAACAACGGTTTCATTATACCAAACAAAACAATAGAAGAAAAATATTGAATGACAAGTTGGTCGGGGATCCCATTTTGTGGATAGCTTGAACATAATTTATTTCAATATGAAATTAGGGTTAAAATTTATCTTGTAATTTTGAGGACCAATTTAAAATTTTGAAAAATTCTCAATTGTTTTTTGTAAAATTTCAGAAGGCTAAGAGCCTTTAGGGTAATTAACTCATTCCTCTAACTTTACAAACTAAAAAGAGATAGAAAAATGCTATTGTGTGGCCAAAGGGATTCGATCCTGTGACCCTTCCCTTGGCCATTGTTGTAACACCCACGACCCAACTTAAAAGTTGAATTCGAATTAGAAATATAACATTGGATCATTGAAATAATCTCACAATTACAAAATAAAAACATGACTTGCACAAAAATTTAAAGCAAATTATACATTAAGTGAAAAACGTAAAATTCCAAAAGCAAAGCTCCTTGTTTGAAAACCTAATACATAGTAAAACAAATTATTTATATAAATAAAAATCATAACATCTACATGCTCACTTAAGTATTTAACGTTGCACTTTGATATTCTCTCTAAATTCCTCTGATATTATCGTTATCTCATCGCAATTTTTAAAATCATGTCTCAAACAATAGCAAGTGTTGGGTAAAAAGGATCTATAGAATTTCTTTTGAAAGAAAATGTCATTTCACTATAATATTAAAAAAGTAATAATTAAATATTGAATTGATATAAAATAGGAATTCGAAAATGTTAGATAATTATAACTATTTATATTTCATTAATTAAAAAAAGGAGGTTAAAGTGATTAATAATTTTTCTTATTCACATAAACATTTATAAATATTTATATATAAAAGAGAAGATAAGTAACTACATCATTAGATAGGTTTCATTAGTCAATCACTTGCATAATTTAAATTTACTAAGTTACGATAATTATAAAATATTATCTATTTAAAAAATATTAAATATCAATAATATATATATATATATATTGTTACAAATAATATATACATTTTACATAGACAACTATTTGAATTCAAATAAATATAAAGAATAACACTCACTAAAACTCTTGAGGCTCGATGGGTTTCACCAAATCGATTATTGAATTGAAAAAGAATTATCATTATTATATGCTATTTGAGTCTTTATGTACATAGAAAAAAAATTTGAATTAAGGGACTGAGAGAAAAAAAAACTCACCTGAATTTAAAGATTAAATATATAACATCAGAAAAGCGTAGAACACCGAGCATTTAAAAGAACGAAGAAATGTCGATATTATACAAAACAAAGCAGAGCAAGAACTGAGGAGAACGAGATTAAAGAAAAAGAGAAAGAGGTTGCTAAGGGAAAGAAAGAGGCAGTGTATATAATACAATACGAGGGTTCCATAATCCAAGTGGAAGCAAAGTGAAGGACAATGGATGGCGGCGATTACGAGGATTCGAGAGCGAAAGGAAAGAAAGTTTCTTTCGTGTGCTGTGGAGAAGGAAATTTAGTATGGGAACGAATGTACAAAAATAAAGGAAAAAAGGGAAACAAAATAGGAAGTGGAGTCTGGTGAAGCCACGTGGCATATCATCAGAGGTCAGGTAGGGGAGAGGAGGAAGAGGAGATGGAGGAAGGGCTGCTTTCCCTTTCCGTTAGTCTGTCTCTTATGCGCTGCCATGTCAGAGTGGTAATCCCGCCCGTCCCCTATTAACCCGGATAATCCGAATAGCATGCTTTCTTATCTCTCTATAAAATCTCAATCCTTCTCTTTACAACTTCTCTCTTTTTAGTTTTTGAGTTCGGTTTATTGTTATTATTTGTCAATTCTCTATATTTATTTCATTCCCCCCCTCGTGTCTTCGCCTTTTCTCTCTCTTTCTCGTATCTATCTTTGCTCCATTTTCTCTGCTTTGCTATACCATAATACCCCCTTCTATCTCATCCTCTCTCTGTCTATATTCACTACATCTCTCAATCTGTTACTCTTTATATTGTTCCACTTGGTTTTGATTATTTGATCTCGAGGGAGGCTGGTAAGCTTATTTTCTTTTCTGGCTATTGCATGTTTTCCTATTTTGGCTTGGATTTTTTCTAATTTAGGCGCCTTGAGTTTTCTGTTCTGTCTATTCTGATGTTTTCTTGCATTTTACGTGACGTTTTTCATGTCGGGAGGTTTGTGTTTGTGTTTTGATTGAAATTTGGTAGTTTTTGCAGTAATTTGGAAATTGGGGTTCTGTGAGTGAGTTTGTGAATGAAGGTGAGTTTGTTCAAATGGGTTTTTAACTTCAATGTAAGTTGAATGTGTATTGTATATATTGAATTTTTGAAACAGATTGTTCTATTTTGCTCGTTTCCGTGTTAATTTGCCTTGTGTTTCTTGGAATCTTTCGGTTTAGATGCTTTATTTCATTCCTAGACTAGACTAGATAATAGCTCCTAGTTGTTACGTTTCCCAAGATGTTTAATTTATCCCTAAGATTTGGGCTTGCCTTTCTTCCTTTTACTCATTCAATTGAATGTTTAGTAATTTGTCGTACCACCTTAATTGCTGTTTCTTAATTTTATTTCTTCATTTTTTTCATCCCAGAGATGATGCCTGGATTAATTATGCTACTCTTATCATATTATTTGATTCCATTGTTGCTACCGCTCTATATATAATATGGATTTTGACTTTGGTTCGACCATTATGTTCACCTTTTTAGCTATAACCTTAGTGGCTTTCTTTTGGCATGTACATGGATTAATTCTTTGGCTTTGGTTTAATGAACTTTTTTATGTTGGTACTTCAAGTTTGACATTTTAGAAACAAACAGCTGAAAATATCTTCCGCTTTAACGTTGCCTAGTAGGATTAGCAGCCGGTGAAGTTGGTTGAAAATTAGAAGTAACTAATCTGAAGTCTTGTTTGTTTGAGACGATATAAACATGAACAATGGCGGAATTCAATATCATGGGTTTATGTTTTGATGAATTCAATATTATTTCCCCCCTTCTCTCTCTTTTTTTTAATAAATAAAGTTTTCTTTCTTCTCTGAAATGCTTTCAATATATTTACGTGCATGCTTCACCCTTCTTTGGTGTAGTAAAACCATTGTTTCTTGGTAGCTGCTTTTCTGTCTTGACAGTCATGTAACAAGTTATATTGCTGAACATGTAGGAATTTCACTTGATTCTTTGAAGGGGATAAGATTGCATATTGGAAGCTTCACTGTTCTGTCTGTGACTTGACGTGATTTCTGCTGTTAATAGCCACAATGTTAATACTCATTATTAAAAAAGGATGAAAGATATCAGTTCATTGAATACTAAAATGATTAACCGAAATTGGGTCCTGAAGCTCAAACGAAGAAAGCTTCCATGTGGTCCATCCCTAGCCAATGGTAAAGAAGAAGACTTAGCATAAGAATCTCCAAGGAGTTCTTTAGCTAAACGTAGGCTGAAAGGAGAAAATAGCTCCAATCAGCTATCCAAAAAGAAGGGAAATGATGGAGTATGACATTTTTTGTTATTGTTCCTTCATTTAGTTGTTTCCCTCTTTGCAATGTAGTTCTTATCTTTTCTTATTTTGATTTGTTTGTTCGTGGTGGATGTTGCTAAACTCTCTCATCTGTTCTTTTCTGGAAAATGTTCTTGCCAAAATGTTTGATTTTTACTAAAATTCTGATTGATCAAGTGTTATGAATTTAGCTAGATGTTTATTGAGTATCAGAATTGACATGCAGAAGTTAAAATTTGAGTTATACGTGCTGTTCAATATAATTTTTCACTCGATAGAAAACGGGCTCATAACACATTTATTTTCTATTGCAATATGCTTAGTGCACTTCTTGTATGCTTCTGTGGGAACCGGTGATCCAGAATTTTTCTACTAAATTAGCAGGTTGGAAAGCTTCAACACTATCGTTGGTTGGGAGATTGGTGTTAGTGAAGGCGGTGTTGTCATCCTTGCCGATTTTCTTCATGTCCATTTTCAAAATTCATCCTAAAGTAAATCATAAGTTGAATTCTATAATGCTAGCTTCCTTTGGGGGGAAGGTCCAGCAAGAAAATGGATTCATTGGGTTAATTGGAATTTGGTGTGTCAACCGATTGAGGAGGGGGGCTTGGGTGTTTTTGACTTGAGTTTGATCAATCGAGTGCTACTTGGGAAGTGGGTTTGGAAGTTTGCTAATGAGAAGGATTCTCTATGGAAGAATATGCTTTGCTGCAAACACAATAGCAACAACTTATCTTTATCTATAAGTACGGCAGTTTCTTCTCAAGATTCTTGGATTTGGAGAGGAATTAGGAATAACTATGAGAAGAAGGATGAAATTGGAGATTGTTTGAGGTCAAATTCGAAGATGCAAGTGGGGAATGGTAGATCTATTGCATTTTGGAATGATGTTTGGGTTAATAACTCAACTCTAAAAGACCAATTCCCAAGGATTTTTGCTCTTTCTAATAATAAAGGGGGAAAAGTTGTTGAATTTGGTTGTTTTGAAAACAGTGGATGGGTTTGGAATATTCAATTAAGGAAGAATTTATGTGACTGAGAGTTAGATCAGTGGATTTCCTTGATGTCATTGCTTGATAATATTGGTTTGATTGATTCAGTTGATGATTTTTTGGCTTGGTCTGGTAAAGGTGATGGTTTGTTCTCGGCTAAGTCCTGTAGATTGACTATTTCGGGCAGATCTAGAGGGAATTATCAGTGGAGCAAATGGGTGTGGTCTGGTTTGGTTCCTCCCAAAGTCCAAACTGTTTTATGGCAGTTATCTCACCATAAAGTGGCTGTCAGAGTGGAGCTGAAAAAACGAGGGGTGTCATTGGAAAATGTTTTTTGTCCTTTATGTCTTAAGGATGAAGAAACAATTCAACATCTTTTTCTCTTGTGTTCGGTTGCAGGGGAGTTGTGGAATAGGTTCTTAAGGTTATGGGATGTAGTTACAGTTCTGCCTAAAGATCCTCAGTCCTTTCTTTGTTCTTGGTCTCATCTTATGGCATCTTCTTCTATTTGGAAGTTTATCCCCGGTGTTGTTTTGTGGTCTACATGGAAAGTTAGAAATTTCATGGTGTTCGAAAATGGTAAAATTGACATTACTTTACTGTTTTTCATTTCCAGATTCAAGCTGACGAATTGGTTTTTAGCAAAATATCCTAAGGCAAATATTCAAGTCGATATATTGGTAGGGGATCCAAGGCTTGCTGACGGTATTGTAATTTTCCTTCCAAAGATGAAGAAGGATACGTGCTGGTTTCCTCCTCCACCTTATTTCTTTAAGTTCAATGTGGATGGGGCGGTAAGGTCTGATGGTTTACAAGGTGGAATAGGAGGAATTTTGAAAGACTCGAACGACTCTAATCTTATCTCCTTTTCTACTGCTGTGGGACCAGTTCTGTCGATGTTTGCTGAGTTGAAAGTAATTAAAGAGGGAATTGATTTATTTCTTTCTTCTCAATAGGCGGGGAAAGGAAGATTAGTGTTAGAGAGTGATTGTTCAATGGTAGTGGAATGGATTTTGAGGCCTGTTTCGGCCCCTTCGTTTTTCAGGCCACTGGTTGGGGACATTGGTGCCTTAGTTTCTGCTAAGGACATTATGGTTAGATGGATCCCTAGGAGTTGTAATTGGAAGGCGGATAAGTTAGCTAAGGAGGGATAGGTTGAACGCTTATAGCTTTATTGATGTTATGTTATGTTTTGTTAGGAGTTTTATAGTGTAAAGTGTATCTTATGTAATTCTGGGGTATTAATAATTTGAGGTACTCTTTTTCTCCTTCAGTTGTCTTTTCTTAAGAGGCAACTATGAGGGAGGTTTTTAATGAGACTTCCTATTCCTATCAAAAAAAAATTCATGTGACCATGAGTACTTCTGGGTTCTGACTGTGATTATGGATTGTGCTTTCAAAAAAGTTTCCTTGTTTGACATGTCTCCCTCACCTTGCTTTGTTTGAGAAATGTGTTTACAATTTTACTGTTAGAAAATCATTATAGTATGAATATCATACTGCAGAATAGTGTGAGGAACAAAATCCAATGGAATATACATCCGTTTGCAATTTCATGTTTTGAGTGTGTTTTTTAGGCATATTTAAACTGTTTCTGACAACCGTTCTTGGAAATTTTTATTGTCCTCAGTACTACTATGAATGTGTTATTTGTGATCTTGGTGGCAACTTCTTGTGTTGTGATAATTGTTCCAGGACATATCATCTACAATGCCTTGATCCACCTCTTAAGGTATGACATTGCAGCTAACTTCAGACGATCCTTTTTGTTTTATGGCTACGTTAGCTATTATTTTTTTACTCATTTCGTTTCTTCTCTTTTTTTTCTTCTATTGTATTCATGATTGTAGCGCATCCCAATGGGAAAGTGGCAATGCCCAAAGTGCTGTAAGACAGATCCACTCAAGCCCATTACCCATCTGGATTCAATTTCCAAACGAGCAAGATCAAAAACTATCAAGACAAAAGCTCAATCTGGAATAAAGTCAGCTGCTACTGACAAAGTGTCCCGAATTTTCGGAACGTCCATTATTGCAAAGAAAAGATCCACCTCCAGTAAAGGAAAATCTGATGTAGCTCAGGGAGTTGATGATTTGGAAAAGGAACCAAAATCCTCTCTTATAGAAGTACTTTCTAACCCAAGTCTTACAGCCCTTGGTGGTACTCAGGAAGGTAGTTCATCTTGTGTGAATGTTGATGATGGAAATAAGCCTGTTGCATCTCCAACAGGTACATCTGCTGAAGGGAAGTTAACTCTTGTAGCTAGTGGCTCATCATGTGTGAATATAGAAGATGGAGTGAAGCCTGTTGCATCTCCAGCAGGTTCATCTGTTGAACGAAAGTTAATTCCTGCAGCTGGTGAGGTTTTGTCTCATTCTAAAGGCACAAATTTAGAGCAAAATGATTAAGCACCTGAACTGAAACATGAATTATCTTGTGATAATGAGTCATCCAAAAGCAAACTTGTTCTTGCAATTGGTATCACCACAAGGAAAGATAGAAAAATAAAGCAGAAAGTCGGCAATGAGGCAAGTCAAAAGAAGCATAAGAGAGACAAGGGTAACCATGCTGTTAGTACTTCCAAAAAGAAGGGTTCCAAGGCAAATAATATTGGTCCTGGTATTAGTAAAACTCGTCAGAAGCGGATACTTGTTAACCATGGGATTTCTGCGTCTTTGTCAAAGGATGATGATGGGAGCAAGAATTTTGATTCTCAGAATATAGATGAGGTATGTTAATCTTTTAGGTTCACCCTGAACACTGGGTGGTTGGAGTGATGTGGGTAAGAAGAAAAACAGCAATAATCAAAATAAATAAGGCTGGACAAACGAGTAGGAAAGATGTAACTCAAGAAAAACTTAGGGTTAAGGGAAATCTCTAGTCCTTTCTATTAATTCAAATAATAAGATAATTATATTGGCTGTAAAGCCTAAAACTTTTTTATATAGGCTTGCTTTCTTGCACTCAAAGTTTAAATCCTACCCCTAGTTTTAAACACTAAAGATAAATGATAGTCCTTGCCCTAGTTTTAACCCAAAAGATACCTTGTAATCCTAGTCGTCTATCTATATGTCTACTAATTGATTAATAAGACAAATAATAAAACAACATAAAAGTAAAAACTCCTGCATCATTCTCCTTGGCTTGGAACAACTCGACTCTGACGAGAAGACTTTCACCACTTAAGTATAAATTGCTCGATCAGCTCTTTGCAGACTCTTTTTCATGTTATCGGAACAAGCCCAGCAGATAAAAGCTGCAAGCCATTGAATGTTTTGCGTTGCATTCCTGAATCAAGAACAAATCTCCCCCGTGCATGTGGACATACCAAGTAACCTTTAATTCCCTTTCCTCACCAACATAAGGGTCTTTGAAGCATAATCATAAGCATACAAATCCATCCCACACATAACTGTTGTCTCAGAACAAAAAACGAACTAGGCCAAGATGCCTAAACAAATAATTGTTGTTTGGATGCCAAGGAAAAAAGTCATACGATATTATTAACAAAAAATCCTTGTTCATACCTTTTCACGAATTTCATCCTCTAGCAATTGGTTGACACCATTTAAATTTGGGTCTCCAATTATTCCAGCACAACTTCTCTCTTTAGGAACCACTGGAACCTTCATATTTTCTTGCGTTTTCTTGAGCTTCACATTGAATTCTCCCTTGGCAGAATTTGATTATAGAAATTGAATCAGCTCTTTTTTTCTTTCTTTCTCCTAGATCATCACTCAATGTTGTGTCCCTTGAGATATTGTAGAGATTTCTGACTTGCCTCCGATCCTTCCCCTCTTATGAGACATTGGTTGTCATCAAGCTTTGAAAAAACCAAAAATTCTCTTTGAGCCAGATACACATCAACTTCTTCATTTTTGTTAGGATATTCATCATAGATTGGTTCTAACATATCATAATCTATCTAACCATATGCACATTGTCATGAAAAACAACTTCACCAGAATTCCACCCTTGTTTAATTCAAGGGAATCAACTAACAGCTCCTCCATTCCACCTTGTACCACAGGGTTTACTGGTCCAGCATCATGAAAGGGGTTTTCTTCATCACATTGACTACATTTCGATATGTGAAACTGGTTGAGGGAACCTTCCGAAATCTCCATTTGGGCAAGCGTAAACTACATGCAGCAATTCTTCGGTCAAACATCATACTGCAACCAATTCTGTTTCTTGATACTGATTTCTTTCTTACCGGTGCTTGCATAAGTTTATTTTTCTGTTTATGTTGGACATTAAAGTGTGACTTCCTAAAGTTAATGCCTTGAATATATGATACAAACATTAATGCACTAGTTTATGGTTTCTTACAAAATGAAATGGCTGTCTTCATATGTCAATATTTCTCATTGCTGATGATCACATCATTGTGAATACTCTTGGAATTCTTTCTTCTGATTGTTTAGATCTTGCTAATTTCTTGAGCAGAAGCTTCCCGAGGGTGCAACACACCAGCCTGTTGAATTGGATAAAGGGACTCTGAATGCCCTGCTGATATGCGAAGACAGTGTTCCTGCTGAACCTCTGCAGGTTTCTTATCTGTATTGCTTATAGACTCTTTACTTTTGTGGTTGATCAGTCGCCTTTTCCCCAAATTTCACACTTCTCTGCCAGGTTGATCGAGTTCTAGGATGTCGGGTTCAAGGTGATAATGCTAGTATTTTGCATCATGCATCTGCAGAACTTTCAGAAGATGTGCTCTCTGACGGTTTTGTAATTGCAGTAAATCCAAGAAGACTTTCAGAGAATTCTGTTTGTGATATGAATTCAGATATTGTAAGTGCTGAAAATCTTACTGATGGTTGTCCTAAGACTCTAAAAAGTTCTGATAAAGAAGAAAGCACAAAGAATGATGTCAGGGTGGATAAAATGAATGTGTAGAGAAGGTCTGTCACTAAGAAATGCAAGGGAGGAGATGCTTTGGACTTATTGAGCAAAGACACCAAGGACTCAGATTGTGCGATCCTAAATGGCAAGGATCAAGATGAATTTGCAGTAAGTGCAGAAGATTCAGGAAAAAGAAATGAAAAAATGGTAGTAGAAGAGTTCAATCCTGATGTTAATGTGAAAAATCATGATACCACTGAAGCTCCAAAAGCTTCTGAAGAACCTACAAAAGCAAAAGAGATGGGTGTAGGAAAGGAAATTAGTAGCAGTGTTGAAAATAAAATGCAAGAACCAGCTGTGACTGAATCTGCATGTTCTAAAGAGGAGATAGTGTCTTATGAATTTTTAGTTAAACGGGTGGGGATGTCCCATACCCATAATAGTTGGATTTCTGAATCCCAGCTGAAATGTCTAGCAAAGAGAAAACTAGACATTTACAAGGCCAAGTATGGAACAGCTGTGATAAATATCTGTGAGGAAAAGTGGAAGAAGCCTCTGCGAATTATTTCTCTCTGTGTTTCAAATAATGTCCAGGAAGCTTTTTTGAAATGGACTGGTCTTCCATATGACGAATGCACTTGGGAAAGGTTAGATGAACCTGTTCTTCAACAATCTTCTCATCTGATTGATCAATTTGAACGCCGAACATGGGAAATGGATGCCACTAAGGATGAAGCTTCAGCAAAGGGGGAACAGCAGTGTGATATTGTTACTTTGGCTGAGCAACCTAAAGAATTGAAGGGAGGCTCACTATTTCCGCATCAGCTTGAAGCACTCAATTGGTTGCGTAGATGTTGGCATAAATCCAAATATGTTTTACTTGCTGATGAAATGGGGATTGGAAAAACTGTATCTGCTGTTGCCTTTATTTTGTCACTTTATTTTGAGTTTAAAGCTACTCTGCCATGTTTAGTGCTGCTTCCACTTTCTACTATTCCTAACTAGCTTGTTGAGTTCTCATTATGGGCCCCTGATGAAATGGGGCTTGGAAAAACTGTATGTGCTGTCGCCTTTATTTCGTCACTTTATTTTGAGTTTAAAGCTACTCTGCCATGTTTAGTGCTGCTTCCACTTTCTACTATGCCTAACTAGCTTGCTGAGTTCTCATTATGGGCCCCTGATTTAAATGTTGTGGAGTACCACGGTTGTGCCAAAGCAAGAGCCATCATTCGCCGGTATGAATGGCATGCTAGTGATCTAAATGAATTGAGTAGGAAAACAGCTTCTTACAAATTTAATGTTCTTTTAACTACATATGAAATGATTCTTGTGGACTCCTCTCATTTGCGTGGTGTTGGGAAGTTCTTGCGGTTGATGAGGGTCATCGTTTGAAAATTTCAGAAAGTAAGCTGTCTAGCATGCTCAACACATTCTCTTTCCAACATCGTGTTCTATTGACCGGAACCCCACTCCAGAATAACATCGGCGAGATGTATAACTTAATTTCTTGCAGCCAGTTTCCTTCCCTTCTTTATCTTCATTTGAGGAGAAATTTAATGATCTTACAACCGCGGAAAAGGTGGAAGAACTGAAGAAACTTGTTGCTCCTCATATGCTTCAAAGGCTTAAAAGGGATGCCATGCAAAATATTCCCCTAAAACTGAACGAATGGTGCCTGTTGAGCTGTCATCCATTCAAGTTGAATACTACCGTGCAATGCTAACTAAAAACTACCAGATATTACGGAATATCGGGAAAGGGGTTGCACAGCAGTCGATGTTAAACATTGTGATGCAACTGAGAAAGGTTTGTAATCATCCATATCTCATACAAGGTACTGAGCCTGAGTCTGGATCTCTGGAATTTCTTCATGAAATGCGTATAAAAGCCTCAGCTAAATTGACTTTGTTGCATTCCATGCTTAAAGTCTTATACAGAGAAGGCCATAGAGTTCTTATTTTTTTCACAAATGACTAAGCTTCTTAACATCCTTGAGGATTATTTAACCAGAGAATTTGGCCCTAAAACATATGAGAGAGTGATGGCTTTGTTTCAGTCCATAAAGTGTGTGTTCTTGGGCTATTCTTCGAGTCAGAAAGGTTACAAGTGTTACTCACCTTCCACAAAAAAGACATATGTCTCATTTGATGTTACATTTTTTGAAAACCAATCTTATTTTTCGGAAACAGAAATTCAAGGGGAGAGTTACAAGGAATTTCAACCTGTTCAAACTAATATTTCTTTACAGCCTATCTTTTCTTTACCTATTACTGTTTCTCCAAAGTCGGCTAGCACTGTCTCAGTTCCTAGTAAGGGTGATGGAAATAATCTAAATAACTCTGATGAATTACCTTTCTCCTTATCTCAGAACTCTAGTCCGTGCAAAACACCTTCCACCACTACCAAAAATGCACCTAACAATGACCCTGAAACCATAACTCCCCATCCGAAACAACTCAGTGTTTACTCAAGAAGAAAGAAAGATGTTGCTGAAGAAATCAGTCAGCCTAGCATTCGCCAAGAATCAGATTTGGATCCTGTTGCATCTGAAATAGAAGGTAATGATGGTTAC